ATGGCCCTCTGCCCCTGGGATCTTTGCCATCTTCTCACAAGCCCTCTCCATCTCTCACAGCCCCATAGCTGCCCTTCCTCGTGGCTCCCAAGCTCGTCTCTTGCTCTACAGCTCCAAGCCCCAGGCCCAGAGTGCTGAATGACCAAGCAAAAGCCTAGTTTCCCAGGAGGCTTCCAGGGCCTGTCAGGAGTCCCAGATCAGTGCTGACAGGCAGCAGATGCAGCAGGGGCTCTACAGCTCTGACCTGGGATCCAAGGTGAAGAATGGAGGCCACCACTGGGACCAGAACAGCAGGGACTTGGCCCAACCCTCTCCTTTCTTCTCTTCTCCCCATTAGTCTGCCTCGGGCTTTCATTTTCACAAATGCTATAATCTGGTGGGGGGGGAGGGGAGCGGGAGTGAAGGGGGTGGCTTGGCAAGGAGAACCCCTCTGATCCTTCCAGCACTGGGGCCCACTCACTTGATAGAGAAGAGGGACCCTGGCCATTCCGCAGACCCCATTGGGCTACGCTAATCAGGACTGGCGAGGCGTAAGCCAGGGCCTTCTTAGTGAGACTTCACAGAAACCCCACTGGAGAATTTTCTGCCTCTGCCCTGTCTACTTTCCTTCATAATGATAGATGGCTGAACAGAAAACTATCTAATCTCCCAACTGCTAGCGTTTTTCCTGCCTTCTCTTCAAGGCGAGAAGGAAGAACGCAGTCACATAAAACAGAGTCCTTCATCGCCTGCTTCTCTGGAGACAGCTCCTTCTCTTTTCATCCCCGGGCCTGTTTCTGATCTGGCATGGGCTCACATTGAAAGCCCCAGCTTGGCCCTCCCTAATCAGCTGCGACAGAAGTAGTGGTGGCTGGGGCTGCCCATGGAAATGGAACCGATTGCCCGGCCCCCTCGCCATTTTGTTCTGCACACAATTGCTTAATAGCTGTCACCTTGGCTTTCAGGGTCTGCTGGCCTCAGTCTGACTGGTTCCCATTACTTGGGATGGCCAATGCAAGTTCATCACCTTTACAGGATGTCCCTGATTGATTCCGGCTGTCTGGGAGTCCTGCTATGCATTTGCATAGCAGGGGCAGGACTCTGTGGAGGGTGGGGAGAAGTGGGAACCTCTGGGCTATGGGAGCTACAAACTTGCATTTGCAGGGCTGGCCTGCAGTTCAGTCATTACCAGAACTTCTTGTCTGGAGCCTGGCTTCTGCCCACATCACTGCTAATGAATTTGCAATTTTTTTAAAAAAGGCAAAACAACCCAACCTATCATACATAACCTTTGCTGTTGACACCTGCTGCCCATTGGAGGGTGGCAGGAACAGAGGAGGGGGTTGAGGTGATCAGCAGAAAGGGCAATTTTTTTGTTTGTTTGTTTGCTGGTCTTGGCTGTGCTGGGTCTCTCCCCATGCCGTACTGTCCCCAGGAGCTTTGGAGCAAGCAGGAGAACCAGGCTGGGAGGAGGCAGGCAGCTTTCAAGTGAAATCCTGTGCAGTAGGAACCACTTCAATTAGACAGCAGGGGGAATGTTACCATGCCCTCCGGCCTTTTAAGTGGGTTTTAATTTTATGTTGTAAGATAAGACACGGCTGCCGCTCCACCAGCAGGCTCCATTAGCTGCCCCAGTAGAGGCCTCTTGACCCCCGAGGCCCAGCCAAGGCTGCAAGTCAGTTTGGTTTTTTAACAATTTGTCAGTCTGAGCCTGCCTCTGTCTCTCCTTTCTCCCTTTTGTCAGTCCAGGGTCTTCCACCAAGGGCCTGCTGGTGGCTGAGTCTGGGCTAGAGCACAGAGCCCTGGGCGGCTGCAAGCCTGGGGCCTCGCGACGCGCGCAGGGCACTGCAGAGGCAGGACCTTTCCTGTGGCAGCTTTTGGCTGGTGATGGATGACTTGCTTGGGCTCCTGAATGGCGCCCTTTGTTCAGGAGCTCCCATGTGCCCCCTTTTTATTGAGCTGTTGACTACGAGGGGCAGGAAAGTTCCACAAATCCCACGGCAGGCCCAGTTTTCGCCATGCCCAGGTGGTTAAGCCCAAGACCTCAGGCTTCTCAGAAGGTGGGTAGGAAGAGATGTGGGCTGCCTCAAGGCAAAATACCCCTTAAGAAGTGTCTTTCTGGACCCAGTGAGCATAGTGGTTAAAGTACTTGCCTTGAATGTGCCAGGATCACATATGGGCGCCGGTCCTAATCCCGGCAGCTCTGCTTCCCATCCAGCTCCCTGCTTATGGCCTGGGAAAGCAGACGAGGACGGCTCAAAGCTTTGGGACCCTTGCACCCATGTGGGAGACCCGGAAGAAGCTCCTGGCTCCTGGCTTCGGACTGGCTCAGCTCCAGCCATTGTGGCCACTTGGGGAGTGAATCATGGGAAGGAAGATCTTCCTCTCTGTCTCTCCTCCTCTCTGTATATCTGACTTTCTGATAAAAATAAAATAAATCTTAAAAAAAAAGAAAAAGAAAAAGTGTCTTTCTGCACCATGAACCTGGCCAGCTGTGTGGCTTGGGAGAGCCTGGGAACATAGGTCTTGCTCCAGCCCTCTCCTAGAATTCTAGAAGGTATGCAAGCTTCACCCAGAAAGAAAGGAGCAAATGGGACTGAGTTGGAAAGAGCCTTCCTAGGTTTCCTGGTGACCAACCAGCCCCAGGTTGAAGGAGAAAGGAACATAGCTATGGGTCCTGCTAAGGACAGGATTTTACAGGGGGCTCCCAGCCCACAGTAGAGGCTGTGGAGACATGTGAGCAACTTTTGGAGGGGGCAGGAGCCAGGGGTAGTGAGGAGGGAAGCCCAGCAGCAGGCCCCTCTACCTGCATTTCTTCTGATCCAGGCCAAGCCTCAGTGAACTGGAGAAAGGCACATGGAAGTGGGAGGGTGCAGAGTTGCAGCGGACCAGGCTCCTCTTGTGGGGGGTGAAGGCTGGCAGCTGGCAGAACTCACATACCCCAAAGGCCCAGAAAGTCCAGACTCTGCCCCTTACCCTATTCTTCAGTTCCTCTTGTGAAGCAGATACACAAATCCCAGCAAGAATTTTATCTGCCCTCCCTAATGCCTGGGTTGGCTGTTGATCACTTCAAAGGCGGAGTCTCACTCAGAGCTTGCACTGCACTATGCTGCACTGGTGATGGGCTCTGGAATTAAGCAGTGCAAGGGAGTCAAGGGACTGTCCGTCGCTGCACTGGTCCTAAGTGAGGGAAAATACAAGCAAAGGGAGAGGCGGGTATCACTGCCAAGCCCGCAATGACGAGTTGGGAATAAAGAGCCTCCACACACTGCACAGCTGTAAAATGGCTTTATGTTCCGATACGCAAGATAAAACGCCTGTGCTGGATCACAAAACTCCCCACGATCCATATCACCTGTCAGCTAACGTGCTTCCTAATAAAGCTTTATCTGCAGTGAATGTGTGTGTTTATGTATCATATAATATATATATATGTTTTATCTAAACCACTCTTCGTTTTTAACATTAGACATGTAATAAAAATTTAAATAGATGTCTTTCCAAGTACCCCCTCAATGTTCATTTTGATGAAGTTTATTTAGTCATTTGTAAAAAAGCAAAGCAGAATTTGACATGTGGCCTGCATTTGTGAGATAGATAGATATATATTTATTTATTCATTTATATAATATATAAATAGCTATTTGGCATGCAAAAAGTTGAGTGACTTCCCAGACTTGACTCAGAGCTCACTCTGGCCACACAGACAAGTCTGGCAATGTCCAAGGCAGTGAGCGAGGCCGAGGACTGGCGAGGAGAGACCTTTGTTTCCTACAGACACTGACTGAATTTTCTGGAAGAAATGAATTTTCCTCCATTCTCTCTTCTTTCATCACGGGTTGGGCTTTTCTCATCCCAGGGGTGGGACAGGCCCAGGAGATATCTGACATCAGCTCCAGGGTGGGTTCCAGGGCACATGGGGGACCTGCAAAAAATGCCAGCCCCTAGAGACTGCAGATGGTGCCAGAGGGGTGGCACCTTGTCCACCAGAGAGACAAGAAGGAAGGGCTGTGAGCCAGGAACCAAAGGGAAAGGTGTTAGGATAAAATCTGAGCAGTGACAGGGATGCTACGGGTTGCATTTTCCCTCCTATTGAAGGGAGAAAAGAGAGAACAAGGAAGGAAAGAAGGAAGGAAGGAAGGAAAGAAGGGAGGGAGGGAGGGAGGAAGGAAGGGAGGGAGAGAGATAGGGGCAGAAATGAGGAGAGAAGAGAGAGGAGAAGAGAGAGGAGAGGAGAGGGGAGGAGAGGGGAGGAGAGGAGAGGAGAGGAGAGGAGAGGAGAGGAGAGGAGAGGAGAGGAGAGGAGAGGAGAGGAGAGGAGAGGAGAGGAGAGGGGAGGGGAGGAGAGGAGAGGAGAGGAGAAAAAAAAGGAAAAATAAAAAAAAGCAAAAACTCATCAGGGAACCCAGAACCCTTCCTGAAAGTCAGCCTCGCCCTTGGTGCTCCAGGTCTGTTGCCTGGCACACACCGACAGAGCACCAAGCGCCCCTCTCAAAGCCTACACGGGCCGCTCCCAGAGGGGCGCTCCAGAAGCCACAGCAGTGGACTGCCCACTGCCCAAAAAGACCTTCTGCACACCCTTGCACCTCCAAGACATGGACGGAGCCTTCCCACTGCAGCAGGGAGGGGCCTTCCCTGGGGGAGAGAACCCTGGCCCCTGGCCCTGAGTAAATCCAAGACTGCTTAAAAACTTCTAAACAGACCCCTGTGGACCTCCTCTGCCCACCCCCCCACCGGCACATCCAGATATGTCAGGTAGCGCTGGGCCCAGAGCCTGCAGCCACAGTCATGCTTCTTAGCTCGCTTTGTTTTTCTTGGGACGGCCTCAACTGTACATCAGAAGACGGACGGCCCAGGAGCATGGACGGAGGTGCACACACATGCACGTACACACACATACCCACACACACACTGTGAAATACCTTCCTGTGTTTCCTGCTTGCACAGGCCACCCACAGTCAGTCCTGGATTGACAAGGTTCAGGAGGAGGAGACACGGAGGTCACTCCTCTGTTGCACGGAGGAGGAGACACGGGGGTCACCCATCAGTCCAGTTTTCCACTGTCCCCATTCCTGAATGGTACTGTAGGGAGGCCTCGCGGGACAGGGAGAAGCTCTGAGAGTACAGGAACTCGCTGGCAGCATTCACATGTGGAGAGGGTGGCTTGCGCTCACACATGGCGCCCGCGAGGCCCCTCTCGCGCGGGAATGAGGCTGCAGGGCCCCGCTCCCGCACCTGAGACTGTGACAGCTGGTTGTAGACACTGAAGTGGGCATTTCCCGGGGGCTGGGAGCCCTGCGCTGAGATGGCCGGCAGCCGGGGCATCATGGTGGTGGCAGTGAAGTGTGTGGGGAAGGGCTGGTACGGCACAGTCTCCATGGCCTGGACGCTGTAGCTGGTGTATGGTGAGACCGAAGTCCACATGTTACAGCTCAGCGGGGGCGGGGCCAGGTCATCCACCCCGGACACCCCGGGGATCTCGGGCCCCGAACCTGAGTACATGCACGCTTCTCTCGGGGTCACCTCGCCGCAGTAGGAGGGGCTCAGCATCTGTTGGTCGTAGGGAGGGGGAGAACGGAAGTAGTGATCTTCCCCCACCGAAGAGGGGGCTTCCAGATAGGACCGCTTGCAGGGCACATCCAGGTGGCGGGCGCTGTCTGCTGGAAGACAGAAACATGCTCAGCTGCTCTTTCCTCATCCCTCAGTGCCCACCCTCACTCCAGGAGGTTCCCATAGCACTGCCACAACCATTTTCATCATCTGCAGCTTCTCTAAGCTGACAGCAGGTAGAAAGTGGTTGGATTATGACCCCTGCTTGGAGGCCATGGAGGATGTCACAGCCCTGGACACTGAGGGAGAGGCAGGGCCAGGCTTTGATCCTTCGCCAGCCTTCCTCTCAGCATGGTGAGAGACCCTGATGTGAGCTGCTATTCCCTGACCGGCCCTAGCCAAGCAAAGTGGAGGCAGCGCTTGTCAGGCCCACCCAGGCTCGGAGGCTGCATCTGTCGGAACTCGCCGGAAAAATGAGGGCCACCAAGTTTTCCCTGTTTCTGCCTCAGGTCTCGGCTGCCAAGGAGCAGCCTCCCAGGCGTGCAGAGAAGAGTTCACCCGTCTGTTCAGAAAAGCCCCACCAGACTATTAGCACACAGACTCTGCGATGTCACGGTATCCACAGAATCAGGAGATGGAGCCCATCATGAGTCTGACTGGGGTTCTCAGACTCAGCTGCTGAGCTGGTGACCATGACGCAGATGTCCAGCCATCTCCATTCGCTTGAGTGGCTTGTCCTCCCCAGGGATCCTGGGACCATCCAGGCCTGAGGGCTTGGGTGGTGACCCACTCAACAAATGTAAGCACACTTATCCACAGCTTATCTTGGCCAACCTCTTTCTGCTTTTTCTGGGTGTGTGCACAGCACAAGGCAGGGCAGGCTGGGGGTGGCCTCTCCCTCTGCAGGCCTGCGGTCATAGTCATGTCTGTCAAGATTCTTCTCTGGAAGCATCTTCCCTGCCACGGGGCAGCTGTCTCCTCTCCCCCTGCTCCTTCCAATTCTCCCCTAAAACAAAGTCCTTTTTTTCTCCCTGCACTAAGATATTGGGACTTGGCAGGTGGCTCAATGACTCTACATTAGTAATAAGCAAATATTTTCCATGAAGGGCCAGCGAGGAAACAGATCAAGCTTCTGACCACACAGCATCTGCCACAAGTCCTCAACCCTGAGGTTGGCTCCCAGCCACAGCCATGGACAGTGTGAACATAAAAGAGGATGGCCATGTGCCAACAAAACTTTAGGTCCAGGGACTAAATTTCAAACTTCCCATGACACTCACGTATCATGGGGCATTCTCACTTTGATCTTTTCCTCCACCATCTCAAAACTGTGAGAAAACATTTTGTATAGGCAGCACATCCATTGGGCTCAAGCACCCCAGTTTGCCAACTTGCTCCAGTCATGAAGCTTATTAGGGGCTTGCACAGGGGATACCCAGAATTCATCCCAGTTGGTCCCTGGAGACGTGGCTGAGAGAACATTCTAAATTAAAAGCAAAAGTCTTAGACTTGTTCCCAAAAGAATTTCAGGAGTCTGGTGAGGTCTCTAGTGGAGTAACACTGACCATGCTAGCTCCACCCATTGACAACTGAGACCCAGTTGCCACAGCACGGTGCTGGTGTTCTGATTTCCAGCTCAGGGTTCCAACTACAAAGAAGTCCAGCCTGGACAGTGCCACTACCATTTCCTGGGCCCCTGCTCCGTCCACAATAGCTCATTTCAACTTGCAAGTAGGCTGTGCACATTCCCGAGACCCAGAGGCTTAGGTAAATGACAGCCCTAACCCTCAAGACTTCACACTGTAGGCCCTCAGCCTCCCCTCACTGCTAGCCTGGCTGCCTCTGTGTCTTCACCTACCCCAGAGAGGCTCTCAGAGCAGTGACCGCCAAGCCATACCTGAAACAGGGTAGGGAGGACAGGGTCTGGGAACACCAAAACCACAGGCTGCCTGTGAAGATTTCATTCAAGATGAAAACCGGCTTCCCTGCACTGGGAAAGTCTGCATGGAGCCTGGCTCCAATCCTTCAAGTTGACTTTTACAGGCCACACAAGTACCTGTGTGCCTGTGGATGTGAGTGTACGTGCCCATGTGTGACGGTGGATATGTCAGTGTGTGTGTGAGAGAGTGCCTGTGTGAGAATATGTGTGTATGACACTGGGTGTGTCTGCATGTCAGTGAGTGTGTGCATGTGAGAAGGTGTGTGGGACAGTGGGTATGTGTGCATGGGAGTGGGTGTGAAAATGCATGTGTGTGTGAAGATGTATGTGTGCATGTGTTTGTGACAGTGTCTGCATGTGTGTGCGGATGTGTGCATGTGAGGGCTTTGGGCGCCTGTGTATGAGAACTCTCATGGTTGTATGTGTGAGTGGGTGTGTGGATGTGTGTGAGAATATGTGTGAGATTATGTGTGCAGGCTGTGTGACAGTGAGTATATATGCAGGTGTGTGCACACGCACGTGTGTGTATGCATGTGTCCGTTGTGGGGAGCGGTGTGGGGAAAGCTTCACCCACTCTGTCCCTCCAGGGTCTGCAGACCACAGCGAGCTACCTCGTCTCTTCAGGCAGTGGTAGAAGAGGCTGGAGTCCCTCTGGGTGGGGAAGGTGTTGAGAGGAAGGTCTTGTGGCTCAGCTGCGGTGAACTGCATGTGGGCCCCGTTCTCGTACTGGTAGTGCTGCAGCGCCTGGTGGGCACTGTGCAGGGGGCTCACGTCAGGCTTGGCCGCCAGCTGGCTGGAGACAAGCCTCTGCCGCATGATGCTTTTCGAAATCACGGGGTACTCTTTGCTGTAGGCAAGGAGGACAGTTGGAGAGTCAGAGAGGGAAGGGGTTGTGGGGATCACCAAGTCCACATGCCTTAACCCAGCCTGGCCCCCACCCTGGGCTGGGCAGCCTCACCTCTGCAGCCTGGCCACACGCAGATCACTGTCATCACTGCCCCGGAACCCCTTGGCAAAAGGGTTGTTCTCAATTTTCAGCTGTGTAATCTGCAGGAGAGGGACACAGAGCAGGCTGGCTGAGAGGCACCCCAGAGCCTTACCGGCCTTGCCGTGCCCACTTGGCCTGCTCCTGGATCATCAGTTTCTCCATTCCCCCTGTTCTAGACCCTGATTCTTTGTCCTGCTCTCCAATCCACTGCACCACCTGGCTTCAGTCTTTCCCTGTACCTGTTATGGCTTCCCCGACACCTTCCTGGACCCAGCCCTGTCCAGAATAACTACCACATCAGGTTCAACGGCACAATGCTAAGTGCAAACTGGACCCTGCTACTCTTCTGCCAAAAATCCACCCAGCCAGTCTCTGTGCATAACATGGACAGTAACCTAGGAAGCGTGGCATGAACAAAGCCACACAGGCATTGAGTGAAGGGTGAGCCATGGAGAGGGTATAAGTGGGGACATCCCAGGCACCTGAGACCCTAACCTGGGTGGGGCCTGCATACCACTCAGTCCCCATGCACCCACACAGCTGACAGAGGCTTCCCCCAATCTTCCTTCCCTCTCCCTGCAGAACCAGAACCTCGAAGCATACCTTCAGACGAGACTATGCAACAAGAAGTCCTAATCCAAACCACAAGGCAGGCTTCATGCTCACAGCTCTTATATCCCCAACTGTGCCCATCCTCCAAGTACAGGGGCGCCCTTACACGGCGCTGGAGCTTCGTGTCCAGGCCCTTTCCTGGTCCCCACTGGATATCCACAGGGCTCTGAGGAACACTGTGGGTTTTGGAAGTCCTTGCATGGGGCCCGCCTAGCCTCGCTGTGCTTTCTCTGCTATGGCAGCAGCAGCAGTGCCCAGGGTGATAGCGGTGAGGGCTACAGAAGCAATGTACCTTGTGATTCTGGTAGGAGGTCACAGAGATGAAGGAGGTCTCTGGGAACACATGGGTGCAGAAAGCCGTGTTTTTGGAGCCGAAGGCATTGTTCTCATCGGCCTTGACAATGTGGAGCCGCGGCTGGTACTTGTGCATGGAGTTGAGGATGATCTGGAACACAGAGGTCTCACTGTGAGCTCCAGGTCCCTGTTCTCTGCTCCTTGGCCCTGTTAGCTGGCCCTGGCTGCCTCCATGCTCCAGGCCTGACTAACAGGACTGAGTCCAGAAAAGCTCTAAAGCTCCCAACTCAGCCTCCCTGCCCTACACTAACATCTGCTTCCCTGTCAATCTGTCTCCTTTTTTTAAAAGATTTTTTAAAATTTATTTTTATTGGAAAGGCAAACATACAGAGAGGAGGAGATAGAGGAGGATATCTTTCTTCTGCTAATTCACACCTCAAGTGACCGCAACAGCCGTAACTGAGCTGATCCAAAGCCAGGAGCCAAGAGCCAGAAGCTTCTTCCAGGTCTCCTATGTGGGTACAAGGTCTCAAGGCTTGGGCATCCTTGACTACTTTCCCAGGCTACAAGCAGGGACCTGGATGGGAATTGGTGTCACTGGGACACAAAGGAGCACCCATATGGGATCCCAGCACATGCAAGGCAAGGGCTTTAGCTACTAGGCTATTGCACCAGGCCTTCCCTACCTCTCTTAGCAGGGTCCTTCCTAGAGGCATCCAGCCTATTGTGACAACAAAAGCAGTTCATAGCCCATAGTACTAAAGGGCTAGGGAGCATGGAGAAGCCAGGAAAAGGACTTAATGCCCACTGCCTTCCAGGCATTCTCTCCTTCACTGCTCCTGCATTTGTCAATGTTCACAGAGGCCCACAGGGCTGTGGATGCTCAGAGTGCCCAAGCCAACTCCCAGCCTGGAAAAAAGCTCCCTGAGGACCAGAGGTCAAGCGATCAGCCCCCAGTGTAAAGGATGAGCAAAATTCTTAAAATATAGACAGAGGTGGCCAGGGGCCCCTTGTGAACGCCATGGGCTGGTAAGGACAGGTTGCCAGGCTGGACAAAGCTCAGCCAAGGACCCAGGAGGCTTGGCTGCAAGCCCTGGGAGTTGCTGTTTCAAGCCTGTTGCTGCTTCATCTGGCTGTGCCCCACAGTAGCGGCGGCATCGCGTGCCATTAAAATGCATTTTTTATCGTTGATATTTGCCAGACACCCTCCCCACTGGAGGCAGGACTAAGAATTTGGGGTATTTTATCAGCACTGCTGCCTTTGTTAACCCTTCGGTTTCTGTCCCTACCTGAGCTGGCCTCAGGTCCTGTTTTACCCCTGAGTGCCTTTCTCTCTGCCTAGAAGTGTCACTTGCTAAGGATGGCCCTGCTGGCTCCCGCCCTGCCAGGTTCCCTGGGACCCAGCCTGGTGCTGACACTGGGTACAAAGTTGAACCTGTTAGTGACCAGGGTGCCAAGAGAAAGGTCAAGTGAGGCTCTTCAAAGGCAAGCCTGGGCTGCAGTCCTGGTGTGGGGAGGCTCTGCTCCCCTCACCTCTCTAAAGCATTGGAACAGTCCAGAAAGCACCCTCAGCTAAGGAAGGGGCTACCTCAGGAACTTTGGGCTGCCCTGGGCTCCTGAATTTGGTTAGGTGGCCCTACCCAGCATCAACCAGCCTTTCTGCCCCTTGCCCTGGCCACTCCTGCCTCTGTCAGAGGTAACTTCTGGACCCTTCTGAGAAAGTTTGGAGTTTTCCAAAACCCAAACCAGGTCTCTCTGCAGAGGACCCACTGTCCGTTTGAGTGCCTGCCAGACCAAAACCAGAATGAGCCTAAGGAACAGAAATGCTTTCTGGGGAAGCCTCAGGTATAACCCTGCCCAGTAACCTGGCGGGAGATAGAGGTGCTCCTGTGAATACAGGGGCTGAGTCTTGGGAACCAATCCTTAGTCCCTGCAGTTCTCTGTCATCCAGTGCTGGCATGAAGCACATGAGCCTACAAAGAACCCTCAATCTCCCTCAAGACCACGATGCAGCAGGACATCTCTGGGAATGACAACCAGAGTTCAGTCCTCCTTTTTTGACATCTCTGTCTTCAAGGCCCACCATCTGGGAAGCCCTGGAACCACTAGAACTTCAGTTCTAGAACTTTCTCTTGGCCACCGCTCTACTTGGCTGCCAGGCTGCTTGCATAGGACTTCCTGCCCTTCATCCCGCAGTCAATCTATAAACTTCTCAAGAAAAAGGGCCGGATCTTTGGCTCCTTTGCCCTCTGAGCTCATCTGCCCTAACACAGATTCTAGCAAGGACAAGATCGGGCTGCTCCGGACAAGGACCACAGACTCAGTGGGGATGCCTGCAAGTCCCTCACTGTTCAGGCTTCTCTCTGCTCACAGGTTGTCTCTAAGACATTTTGTCAGGTTGAAAATGGTACTCAGATGTGGCTCGAACTCTCCTCTCTATGAATACCTGTGTGTCCCTGCTCCCCGCATGCAGGTACAGCCCCTAGCAGCGCTGACTCTCCCAAGAACCCACACAAAGGGGGCACAGAGACAGCAGAGCTGACAGATGACTGAACCCAAAACAGTGAACACAGTATTCTTCCTCCTGCCCCAGGGCAGCTGTGCAGGGTTCTTGGGACCACTGGCAGCACCCTCACTGTTACTGTGATACACTGCTGGCCAGGCAGCTGGAAGAGAGCAACTGCCCGACCAGAGGAGTGCAAGGCCAGCCACAAAGATGTCATGAAGGGCCATCAGTGGACCTCTGCTGACCAGCTGCACAATTTGAGCAAGTGTTTCTCCTCCAGCATCGAGGTCCCTTGCCTATAATGTGAGGCCTTACACTAAATGGTCCCAGATTTCAGACTCTCTGATAGTCTGGAACGTGGACAGGTGTCTAGAAGAAAGTCCTCCCAATCCCCCTTCCTATGGAACCAATGTGAATAAAAACTTGAGCCTCAAAAAAAAAAAATCCAAGCTTGAGCCTCAGTCCCATCCTCCTGGGAGAACATGAAATCATCTCAGTGACTCAGGTACCTGGCTTTGTTTGGAAGTTCCTTAGGCGCCACATGAAGCAGCTTCACCAATCTCACATTTATTTTCACGGCCAAGGATGCTGGGCCAAATGGGCTAGCCACGTCAACATCCCCACTACACAACTGGTCCTGTCATCATCATTGTTTCATAGAAATGGGATTCATTATGTTCTGGCCCCAGTTCCGAAGCCTGTTCTATTTTAACAATCGCAATAGCACCAGACATCCATCTCTTCCAAAGAACGCCAGAGCATGCTTAGCCATGGAGGCCCAGATTTCCCTCTCATGGGAGTCACATGGAGGAGCAGCTCTTAAAGATCACCAAAGTCCAGACAGGGAACTGAAGGCCCATGATGGACGTGTGATTTACTTATCCAAGGACACTCAGCTGACTGCAGACAGAGTTCCGGGCAGAACCCACAGGTTCTCAGCAACTTGGGGTGGAAGTTAATGTTAAGCTGTCCATTGTGTCCTACGTTAACAACAGATTGACCTGCATCATTGTTTTACCCTCTAAGGTTCCCTTCCTCTCCCTATCACTGCAGATGGAGTAGAACAGAGAGAAATTGCAACTGAAAAATAAATTAAAAAAAAAAAAGAGAGACCTAGAGAGGACTGCCCAAGAAAGAGCCAAACCAGAACTGAGACGGTCGATTCCAATCTTCTCAAAAGGCCTTGGCCAGGCAGAGCCTTGGGCCTTCCTGCCAGGACAGCAACCCTTAGGTCACACCTAGAGCCTGGAGCCTTCTTGTCTTCTCTTACAGTAGCAGTGATATCAGCCAGTGTGTACCCAGCTTGTGCCATGTGCCAGGCCCTTCACTAGGTATTTTATGTCCCTTGAAAAATTGATCTTTACAGCATCTTCATAAAGCAGGCATTATTAGTAGGGAACTCAGGGTCAGGAGAGTGAAGAAATCTGCCCCACATCAAGCAGCAGATTTGATGTAGAGCCAGAACGGGGAGGATTTCCAACACTGAGTTCTCATCCACCCGCAGAGGACAGAATGTCCCAGTGTGGAGTTCTGTGGGCTCCTGATGCTCTCAAAGCACCAGGCCAGCTCTTGGTTCATGGATAGGGCCTGGTCAATATGGGAGCAGAAGAGGACTAGTGGGGGATAAACAGCTCTGTATCCCCAGCTCCTGGTAAGTTAACAAACAGCATGGATACGAGGGGACATCAGCATCTTCTCTGTCCACAACCACCCTGCCCACCACAGGAGCACACAGTGGACACAAGGGTTGACTCTCCAGTGCAGAAGGCACAGAGTAATCCAGAAATTGAGATGCGGGCAAAATGCTAGGAAGGAAACTCAAGCATGCTTTGAAGACAAGGGGACTTCAGCAAAGGAGCTCCTAACCATCCTCCTGAGATCAAATGACAATGGAAAGCAAAATCAATCAAAAGGACACTAGGTTTCTTTCTCGCCACCACAAACCAACTCTAAAGTTCCTATGAAATAAATAAACAAGATAAGCCAAGAAGACTGAGAGGAGCAAGAAGGAGGAGCCATGACAAGCACAGAAACCTTTCTGAAGTCTCAATGGGCATGGCATTGGCACGTGAAAAGAGACGCCAGCACACGGGCATGCAGAGGTTAGGCACCCAGACCCAGGGAGGAGAGGACTATGCAGTGGCTGCTGCTGCTGGACAACCAAAACAAATAAGTAGCACAGAAAAGGAAGTTGGGTTCTCACCTCACATCAGATGCCAGGATAAAGTGCAAAGGGATCAGTGGTTCAAATGTACAAATAAATCCAGAGAAAAGAAATAGAAGAAAATCACCCTTGTAAATAAGGAATGGAAAAAAGGCTCCCAATTATTTCAAACCCAGAATCCTTCAGGAAACACTGATCCAATCACAAATGCTGTGCGGGAACTACAGAATCCAATGCCACGGGTGACATAGGATGACACGGTTGGGCAGCCTGTGCAGCTCCCGTCCTGCAGGTTAATGAGCGCAAACATCCAGGAGGGAAATGAGCCAAGGACAAGAGCAGCACTTCACCGGAGGAGGGACACACATTCAAGGACTCTGAGCTTCTAGAGGAAATGAAAACCAAGAGGGAGATCCACTTTTTACCTGTCCAAATGGCAGAAACCCTAGGTGTGTGCTTGCCCATCTTATTGCTCAGGCTGCAGTCATGGTGTGGTGCACACTGGTGTGGTGTTAACAAAGGGTAATGGCGGTGTCTTCACAATTACAGCAAGCTTTGTGTAGACAGATGCCCAAGACAAAATGACAATCCTTCAGTAAGAATTGGCCAAACAGTCAATGGGACAAACAGGGTAAAATTCCATTCCAGGTTTGGGGGTGGGAAGGAAGAAGGTCATTTTCTATGAATGTAAGGATAGATCTACTGAGTTTACAAAACAAGGTGCAAGAAATGTTGCAATAAGCTGCTTTTTGTGTGTAGACAAGGGGGCTTGAGATTATGTGCAGAAGGAAAGGCTGGAAACACACAAACTAGAATGGCTACCTGTGAAAGAGGCAGAAAGGAATCAGGCAGAGCAGGTGGAGGGAGATGATAACTTTGGTAAGTGCAAAAGCGAAAAGGTACCTGCAACTCAGAGTGCACAGAATAGGAAATGAATGTTCCCCCTGAAGAAGCTGCATTTGGACTTGTATCCTAAGGCTCCAAAAAGCAGACAAAGAAGATGGGAGAGTACCCCAAGCCTACAGGGTGGGACAGCAGACAGTCAGGCAGGCTGGTGATGTGTGTAAAACCATGGCTTGAGCAGGAGGGGCTCATGGACGGCACTAGGCAGGAGCTGTTCTGCAGCCCACACTCCCAGGCTGTGCCAAATTGGTCTGTGCAAGAGTTGTACTTACCAGGTCTGAGATTATATGCTGGTCCACCATCCCCAGCAACCTGGCAGTCCTGGCCCCTGAAGCTAGTGAAGATGACCAATTCTGCAGTGCACACACTCACAATACCCACACACACAGTCACACACATCCATTTGCACATGCTCACACACACACACACACACACACACACACACACACACACAGAGTCCATGATGGCCAGTTCCTTCCTGCCTCCAGGAAAAAAAAGCAGGTTCCCAGGTCAGCCTCTTCTGTGTCCTGTCACAGGATGACACACCTAACCTTCACTTGCACTGCTGGAATCTTATTCTGAAGAGGGGGAGTGGCAGAAGAGCGAAACTTAGGGCACTAGAGGTGGTGAAGAAGAGTGGAGATGGGCAGGCCACAGCTACAATTGGCAGGAAGACTGAAGAGAGCTGGTTCCAGGCCCTAGGGGCAACACTGTCCCGCCCATGTTCTATGACTGCCCTTGTTCCATGACTCTTTCTGCCCAGGCTGCCTGGGTAGCCACTGGCCTTGGGCTTAATCCTGGAACCTGTTGGTCATTCCTGAGCCTGCCCTGCTGACCCTACCCTCCTGTCTGTCAGGAGTGTCCAGAGGTGGAGTGTCCCAGCTATGGGGCATCTGCTGTAGCTCCCACCCACTATGGCAGACAGACTGCTAGGCTCAGGCCCTCACCTGAACCACATCCCCTTCTTCTAGATCTTCAGACAATCAGGAGAAGCAGGGGTGCAGGGGAGTGCTTAGAAGATAAGAAACCTACAGGAGTATAGATTTTCCCCTATGTGGCTGCTCTATAGGTCCCTCTTCTCCTTGGGTCTTTATGCACAGACAGACACTCAGCCTCTCCACCAGCCCGGGATGAAGAAATCGGGTAGCTTGGACGCAAGGGTCTGTAAACTGGAAAAATTCCAATATAGCATCACAAGCATTCAAACTGACTCTCAACTTTGTGACAATGACAGTGCCAGCTCCCTCCTGGATTAGGCTTCCTTACCAAAGCCAGATCCCAGCTCTGTGGACAGGATAATGGGGTCACATGTCAGGCTGTCAAAAGGAAACAGCTGTTAAAGGTCCTAGGACACCATGACCATCCCAGGGGGAATGGCCAAAGATGATTTGGCTGGAACAAATCCCTTGGGAGGAAATGGAAATCGCCGTGGTGACTTGTATAAAACAAAGGGCACAGATTTGGGGCAGATTTATGGCACAGGATGGCTCTGCCCCCACAGCTCTGGCACAGAAAAGCCAAGAGGGGTGGATTCTCCACCTTCAGTGGGGCTCACTGTTCCCACTGGCACAGGTCTGGGAGCCGAAAGGCAGGGTCTCCAGGACTGCTACACGGAGCTCCTCCTCTCTGCCTCATACCCCATCATCCACACAGCCCAGGGCTGCTCCCAACAGCTGAGGAGGGGACAACCAGCACCCAGTGTTTGAAAAGACAGATAAAAACATACAGGTCAAGGAACTCAAAGATCATGCAATAGCTTCTTTCCTTGCAGCTTCAGAGACAACCTCCCCTGCTCCCTGAATCAAGGAACAGTGGGTACTGCACAAATATGAGGCAGCAGGGAAAGCAGCGAAAGGCTCTGCAGCCCACCCCTCCAGAAGGAAAAGTGGATTCACAGAGGTGGGTGCCCTATTGCTGTGGTGGGTGAGCCCCAGGCAGGAGTCACGGGTGTGGCCAGGAGCACCCCAGCCACAAGAGCCCCAGCAGCAGCTGTCTGCAATGCCAGCACCCCACATGGGAATCAGTTGGAATCCCAGCTGTCCCACTTCCCATCTAGCTCCCTGTTAATGGCCTGGGAAAATAGTGGAAGGTGATCCAAGTATATTGTACCCCCTGCACCCACATGGGAGACCCAAACGAAGTACCCGGCTCCCAACTTCAGCCTGGCGCAGTGCTGGTCATTGCAGCCATTTAGGGAGTGAGCCAGCAAATGGAAGATCTCTGTTTCTCTGTCTTTCTGTAACTCTGCCTTTGAAAACAAATAAATCTTTGGGGAAAATAAATGAGAGAGAGAGAGTCCACCAGCAGTCCACACTTAATACTATCCACATGGTTTTCACAACCCCCTGGGAGACCCAGGAAGAACCACCACACAGGAAGGCCAGGCTGTGAAGACTAAGAACAGGTCTCCTTCTTCCGCCACCTAATGAAGGCCGAGCTCTTCAACCCTTCCCTCCCCTCCTGCCCTCTGCAGGAGTATGGGAGGGACATCCCTGCAGCCAGGAGCTGTGGCAGCAAGGGAGTGCATCCAAAGACCCTTCCAGAGCCTTGACCAAAACCCTATGCTCCTGCCATGGGTCTGAGCATGTGTGCAGTCATGGGCAGAGACCACATCTGAAGACAAAGTTCCCTAGCTTTCCACCACAGAGGCTCTTCCTAAGCTTGCAAGGCTGGGGCTACAACCCAGCCAGGCAGAGGAGAGCAGGTAAGAGTTTACAGGGCACAAAACTATAGCCAGGGTGGCACTCAGGAGACCTTCTGCTTCTCGGCACACAGGCTCCGCTGCTCTGCAAGGCAGGGACTTGGGTGACCATTTTCCATGAGACATCTGCCTGCCCTGGATGGTGAAGTCTAGTACAAGAAAGTCAGGAGATAGGCACATTCATGAAGCAATCACTTAATAGATCACTAGCAACTTAAGAGCAAATAGAACACACTCTGAGAAATTAAAGCCAGGAGCTGCCCACCAGCTATACACCCATCAATCAGATATGAAGCCCTGCTGACATTCTGTGTGAGGAGCAACTGTTCCCAGAACACTGTTGTGCACATAGCTCCCCAGAAGCAAAGCTGAGGCATGCGAAGCGACAAATCTGCACACTCTAGGCACAGCTCAGGAGGTTGCATTGGCAAGCACTGCCACCTCCTCATCAGCCTCTGCAACCTTTCTCTGTATCCCCAGAGCAACCATTGAACATCGAAGGAGGCAGGGCCTAGACCTTGGCAGATAGTACCAGGTCCCAGGCCTCTGCCACACACTGAAGCTAAAAATTTCCACATAAAAAGCTCCTTTTTGCAGGCCAGCTAGCATGAGATGGGGAAAGAATGAGTTTGAGCAGCCTGGATAGGGCGTCAGTCACAGCACCCCTGGCTTGTGACAGCCAGGTCCCAGGCAAAGCCAGGGCGAACCAACACAGGAGCCAGGGCTAGGCCTCGTTGTCTGGAGGTCAGGGCCCTGTGAGGGAAACCAAACAGTGAGGCAAGACACTCCTCACCTGTTCTCATTCCCACCTCACAATCAGGAAAGGTACCCAGGGTCATCTCCCCATCTGTACCAGGAAAGCATGGCTCACAAAGTGAAACAACTTGCAGTGAGCACAGCAGCCGGTAAGCAGCTCGGGCTGACTTGGGATGCTGAGTCCAGCTTCTTCCATCTCTTTCCTGGTCCCCACTTGCCCCACCCTCCCAACCTGGCCCCAATTCCTGTCTCCTTCCCACCCCCGAGGCCAACTGGGCTCCTTGCTTACATGGCCAAAGGGGTCCAGGTGGTTGTTCGTCAGCTTCAGCTTCTGGAAAGAGACCAGCTGTCGCATCCAATGGGCCCCAGTGGCAGGAGAATCCGGGTGTACGTACAGCCTGCCTGGCATGGCCGGTTCTGCCTTCCCAGCTACCATCCTGCCAACAGAGCAGCCATGGCAACAGTGCTGAAATCACCCAGATACCTGCTCCCTCTGACAGCATGCCCACCCGGTGACCAAGGAGGACAGCAGCTGCAGGTCTCACACTCGGTCACTGTGGGTCTATGGAGAAGGCAGGGAGGGTCATGGGAGAGACAGTTGACAAGGAGACACAGCTACAAACCCCTTGTGTTTAATTGCAGAAAAGAGAAGGAGGCCGACTCTGTGGTATAGCGAGTAAAGCTGCCATCAGTGATGCAGCATCTCATAAAGGTGCCAATTGGAATCCTACATGCTCTGCTTCCCATCCACTTCCCTGCTAACGCACCTGGAAAAGCAGCAGAAGATGGCCCAAGTGTTTTGGCCCCTGTACTCAAGTGGGAGACCTTAAAGACGCTTCTGGCAAGTGGCTACAGTCAGGCCAAGTCCATGGCTGCTGCAACCATTTGGGGTGTTAACCAGCAGATAAATGGAAGATCTCTCTCTCTCTCTTTCTTTTTTTCTCTCTCTTTTCAATTCTGCTTCTCAAGTAAATAAATATAGAAGAAAAGGAAGGAGAAGGAGAAGAAGGAAAAACTTATAGGAATTGGAAATGTAACCACTTATAAGAATTGTAGCTAATCACAAAGAAATCCGAAAGAGATTTAGGCACTCCTGTACATACACTTTTTGAACGTCACAAATTACAGTCATAAGAGAGGGCTTCCTAGAGACCAGACAGAACTTTCTAATCATGTGCCCCAAAAGCAATGGTGGGAAATTGATCGTTAGCTTCCCTTGGCCAAAGCCTACTCTGAGTTCTAATCTAGGCCGGAGAAGGAACAGAAACTCAGCCCTTGCCCGAACCCAGTCCCAGCTCTGCTTCCACAGCTCAGACTCTTCCAGCTCTACCACCCACCTGCCCTGGCCAGCCATGCCCTCTGCAAAAATCCTTCAATCTTTTTTTCTTAAAAATACACTTATTTTCACTTGGTTTAAAAAGCAGAGAGACACTACACAGAAAGATCTTCCATCTGCTGGGTCACTCCTTAAATGTCTGAAACAATGAGGGCTGGGCCAGGTCAAAGCCAAGAACCTGGAATGCCACCCAGTCTCTCATTTGGGTGTCAGGGACCCAAGTACTTGAGCCATCATTTCTGTCTTCCAGGGTCACATCAGTATGAAGTTGAAATTGGAAGTGGAGTAGAGGGGACTCAAACCACTCTAACAGGGGCGCGGGTGTTCGGAGTATGAAGTAACTACCGTGCCAAATGTCCATCCCAGGAAGCACTGCCCTGAACCCGGGGGACAGTGACACAGGGTACAAAGGAGTTGGCCTCTGGAAAGGGCAACCTAGCTTTTATCTACGGGCCACAGGTGAACTTCACTACTCAACTTGCCTTCCTTCCCATCCCCTCACCAAAGGGTCCTGTCACAGAGTCCCAGGCAGCCACTCACTCAGTCTTCATAGTGGACACAGGGCTAAAGGGGGAGGAACTCTGCTGCCAGAGGATTGTGAGGGAGCAAGTGCCGGGAACAAGAGCTGAGGACAGGCCAGGAAAGGGCCACCTAGACCAGGTGACATCCCTAACAATTAAGTCCCCTAAGGAAACAGCTCCCATCCCACTGTCTGCAGAAGCACTGACAGAAGTGAATCTGCTCAGCGTTAACATTCCTTGTCACCTGAGAACATGATCACCAAGTTCTGATTGCGCATGGTTGGGTGGAGTATGGACCTTTGAGATGCAGCAAACACCCAAACACTGCAGCTGGTTCCCAGAGGGAGGGGTGGCAATGTGGTGAGGGTCGTGTGCCTCTTACCATTTGTTGTCACAGAACTTGTAGCGATGGTCGTCAGCAGGGACAATGTCAATCAGCAGGATGTACTTGGTCTTGGGATTCATGCCTGTGACTTTGACCTTGTAGCTGGGGAACATCCTCCTGAAGGAGCCAAGGGGTAAGAGAAGCATAGACAGGGCCAGGGGAGACAGCAGGGTGAGCCAGGAAGCAGAAGGCCTTCACAGGTGCTGCCCCATAGCTATTGATCCAGCCCACTGTCCCTCTGCCTTGTGGTACAAGGATGGGGCTCCAGTGGCAACCCCCTCTGAGGCCTTGAAGCTGGCAGTCTGTCCAGGAATAAAGCTAACCTGGTCCCTCAAATTCAGGTCCCCTAGGACATGGGCCCAGTGGCTGCTGTAGCCCACAAGTCGCAGCCAGGACCATAGGAGAGGATTTCCTTGTCAGGCTTACTGTTTTCATTTCCCGGCTGTCCTTGGCCAACCACACCCAACTGAAGTTTTGTAGTGCCCTGGTAAGGAGCCAGACAGAGGGCCCTGCCAGCTGCAGCCATGCAACAGTGAGATGCCTCCTCCCTCAGACCTTACACCAAGCACCAGGGAGACAGGAGAGGGAGTATAGTGGAAAATTTGGCTTGGTGTGTTCAAAAGGGGTGACAGACCTGCCCCCGACACACCTGAGCTATACACCCTAACCGGGTGTTGGGGAGAAGTCAGTTTAGGAGTTTTGTGGACAAGAGCAGGGCCTGTGGAACTACCCACAACCTGGCTCCCGACTGCCCATCTCAGCACCAAAGAATGGGTTTCTCTGTGCCTTGGTTCCCTCAGCTCTACAAGGAGGATAATAATATTACTACCTGGCTTACTGTGTAGATTGCACAAGTCAACTGCTCGCTATTATTCTAACCCCCCCCCCCAACTCCACCCTCCACTAATCAGGAGTATGATCTACTTCCATGAAAATGCACTCACAGAGAAACACGAGGCTGTGGGGACCCTGAGCCCTCAGGTATCCACGCACCCCCAGCACAGTCACACCCTGCAGGACCTGGGGCAGGCTCTCACCCTGGCTACCAATCACCAAACACTGGCCCTCACCACACAGCTGCGGAGGTAGCTTCCTCACAGTCCTCCTCATGCCCCCTGCCCCTCAGAGCTGATTCCCCACAAAGATGTTGCCAGGAGAGAAGCAGAGCCAGAACTCGCTGAAGACCCTGAGGGAAACGGAGGGGGGACTGTATAAGGCCCGTTAGTCCACACCAGGAACTGTCAGGGGATCCTCTCGCCAAGCAAGACAGTACAGCGCCCTCAAGGAAGTGTTCCGGACCACCAAACGGATAACATGGCCACACTTCGTCCACGAGGGCACCAGTTTACCTGGTCAGGGCAGGGCTTCCAGGCGGGACTGAGGATCTTCACGAGCTGATACACCCTCTGAAAGTTTTGGCCAGAACCCTGGGGTTCAACTTGCATCCTCTTTTGAAGGAACAGAGGCCTGTGAGCACCCTGCAGCAGGCGAGGTGTGGGGCTGGGAGCGAGCAAACGTGCATGCACCCTGGTGTAAGTGGGTGAACACGTGGTGCGAGTCCAGTGCGCATGTGTGCTTGTGTGCGTGCTGGCAGGGCAGGAGGGAAGTTCTAGCTGCAAGTCTAGGGACTTATAAACCGTGTGGAAGAATTTGTCTCAGATGTCAATTGAAAGCATTTTCAAATGTCCACCCCACCCCCTCTCCAAGAACGGGGGAAATGAGTGGCTGAGGAACCCCAGCCTGCCTCCTCCTTCCCAACCTCCGCCCCTACTACTAGTCCGGCCTGGGGGCACAGCTGGAGCCTGCACCACCCTCTTTCCTGGCCCTGCCTCTCCCTGGTGGGCTTAAAGCTGGAGAGGAGAAGGGGGAGGGTGGCGGCTGCATCATCCCCTCCCGGAGTGAGGAGGGGTGGGGTGGGGAGAGGCCAAAATCCTGTGCCCTCCAAGCCACCATTTTGTAAGTGCTAGAGAAACCACCGCAAAATGGGGCAGCCTGGCCTTGCTGGAGCCGGCTGGCACCAGTGGCCCACACTTAACCCGTCTCTCCTGAAGTCATTCGGGCATTGTCCGCACGGGGCGGGCAGGGGAGTCCCGTCTGCCGCCCCCATGCTGCCTCCGCCGGGGTGACTGCTAGGGAGAGTTGTGTGGCAGGCGAGGGATGGGTCACCGAGTCATGGCAGGGATGCGGGCACAGAGGAAGACCAGGAGCCGAGATCTCTGCCTCCTCTTGCCCGCCCACCCACTCCCCTTTCCTTGGGCGGGAAGGTCGCTCTGTCTGCTTAGACTCCCGCTGGGCTCCAGGCTGGGGTTGCTGAGGCTACAGAGCCTCCTCGGGGTCCAGTGCAGGACAGCTCCGAGGCCACTGGGAACTGTCTGCCGTGCCCTGGGCGCTCATTCCCTCGGAGTTCCAGGCTCGGGCAGGGGGAGCCGCCTCAGCCCTTTAGCTTTCCCTGGAGCTCCAGCTAGAGCACTGGGACCTGGCCTTGGTACGTTCCTCAGGTGGGCACGACCCAGCGACTCAGTGGCCAGGCTGGATTGAGGACCTGGCCCTCCCTCGGGCCCGGCTCTGTGAAGTTCTCTCTAAGGAAGCCGTGGAAGCAGCGGGGCGAGGTGCAAACCGAGGTTGTAGCTCGTGCTATAAAAACGCACCTGAAAACCGGCACCGTCTGGGGAACGCGGACACCGCAGTGGCTGGGGAGGGCGGGCGGCCTGCGGGGCCCATGACGAGGTCGGCATCGCCAATCTCTTGCACGTGCGCCCTCCCTGCTGTCCCTGTCCCTCACGTCCGTACCCACGACCGGACCAGGCCCCCCCCCTTCCCCCAGTCCCAGTCGCAAGCGCGGAAACGGCCCCGCCGGGCGAATAAACAAGGAGATGAAAGTCCGGGCTTCTGCTCTGATCATGAAACGGGTTGCGGCTGAAGCCCTGGTCCATTCATCCTCGGAAATGGCTTTGGAATGAACTGCTAAGATAAGCTTCTGGGGACGCTTCTCTCGGTGTCAGAGGCTTGCAAGCAGGCCCCCCAGCAGCGAGGGTTTGGGGCATTTTGACTTTTGGCAACAAACCCCTGAATAGGAACTTACTGCCCGGGAGGGGGGACACATAGTCACTGGCAGTCTCCTCCTGAGCCAAAGAGATTATTGCCAAATTCAAGGTGCTGACAGACTCACCCCTCTTCAGGGGAGGCAGGGACAGTGGACCTAGGGGAACCGCTGCCTGGCAGGACTCCAAACCTCCACCGCAGCCCTAACTTCTCCAGGGACTGCAGAAGCAACCGCCTGTGCCTTGGCTTAAAGGAAGATTCAAAATCAAACCGAAGGCGTGAGAAGTCTTGGGAGAGAGAGGGGTTTCCAGGGTGGGAGTGGTGGTGCCTGGCGGGGTCCTGGAAGCTTCTTTATGGGGTGCTGGTTTCCCAGCTGTGTTTTTTTGTAAATGGCTATAGAACCCTATACTTAGGATTAATGCATTCTTCCACCAAGAACACTCCACTTCTATAAAATTTGCATTAAATAGTGTATGTGTGTGTATGTCACTTGTATGTGCTTTGGGGCCCAGAGACTGAAAGGCTGCAGGGAAAGGACAGGGAGCCACAAAAAAACCCTACTCATGTTTTCTATTGCTAATGTTAAGGAGTCCCCAAGAAGAGTCTATGATTTGCTGGAAAGAGGCCAGAGCCCAGCACCCAAGGTTGAGGCTGAGGAGGGAGGGTGGCCAGGTTGTTGGTTCCTGGTGGGGCCACAGCTTTTGTACCAAGTTGGTGGCTACTTTCTCTCCACTTGCGGCTTTCTCATTCACCCAAAGTGTTTTCAAAACTATTTTCTCTGAGGGAAGGGGAATGAGTGAGGGTGTGCGAAGTGGATGTTATTTTGGAAGACCAGTTGTTTCTCTCTCTTTTTTTTTTTCTTACTCTAAGGAACTTCCCTTCTGATAGACTTTTGCTTTCAGAAAATACTTTTAGAAGAGATCAAAGCACTCTATCCCCAACCCACTTTCCCAGTGTCTTCAAGTCTGACTTCTCTTATCATCCACGCCACTGGGCTCTGACGCTCTGTATACAGAGTAAGGGCAATCGGCTTTGAAGCCATGGATTAAGTCGGGCCAAATCCTTGCCTCAGAATAACAAACAACCAGGTTCAACAGGAGTTCTCATCGGTAGTTCATTTTTCAAACACAAATTCACTGTCACTAACACAAGCAACATTGAACTCAACAGGCCATGAGGGCTGATAGTGGAGATTTATCTGGTGGCAGAACCATGACCTACAAGTTGGCCAGTCAGATGGTTGGGAAATTTTCATTTGGGAGAGGTTTATATTTAAATTTTTGTAGCGCTTGCTTTTATCTGTGTTTTGGAGGAGATGAAGTTTCTCACAAGATCAAGCTTGGCAGGGATATGAGGAGGCCAAGAGAGGGATGTGCTCTCAGCAGTTGCCAACTTGAGCCCCAGTGGGCAAAGTGGCCGGCTTGGGGAGGGTTGACTTCATCGTACACCTGAGAATTCAGAGATCCGCCTCTTGTTTTGGCGTTTTATTGGCTATTCAAATTGTCTGGCAACTCAAAATTACCACCAAGGAAGGGAACTTGTCCCCTTTGGACTTGAGACTTTCTTGGGACCCCAAAACTCAAAATGGTTTGAGAATGTGTGGCTCCCTCTCTCTCTCTCTCTCTCCAGGGCCTGCCCTGCTCTGCTCTCCCTCATCCAGAGGGCAGCTACCAGGCTCTCTAGGGCAAAGCAACAGCCCCACATTGAAGGGGGATTTGTTCTGGGGGTGGACTGCATCAGCTATTTGGCCTGCATAGACCCATCATCCTGCTGACAGCCTTTCCCTGCAGTTTTGCTTCTCCCTGCTCTCGCCCAGGTCCTGGGTACAGGAGAGAAAACCTTAGGCCAACTGCTGGGACCAACTTCCAGTGTCCCAGGAAGGGTTCTGGGGGAGGGGGCAACACACACTGTTTCAGGAATAGCAAAGAGAGGCACAACCAGAGCCACAAACCTCAGCAAAGCTGCATGCAGAAGCCTCCCTCTGAGGGAGGTGACAGGGTGGGGGAAGGCAAGGGGTGCACATAGCAATATCAGAGCAATTAAAGCAGTGGGCAGCCAGGCTGAAGGAAATGGGCTCTAGGAGAACAGAGGGGCAGGGGCAGAGGGATACAGCTGGAAACTTTCTTAAGGATAACTTTGTGCTGGTACAATAAGAATCTGTGATGGATTCTTAACTGGCCAGTACCATCACAGGCATTTCAAACTCCAGTTCTTGCCTTTAGTAGGACCAGGCACATCTGCCTGAAGCTGGCCACCTTTGCAAGTGGGGAGGGGGGGATGGGGATAGGGAAAAAGTGGGGGGGGGCAGAGGGAGGAAGGGTGAGGGAGGAGGAGGTGGATGTACACAGGTGCAGAAAACCCCACTGAGGAGACCCACCAAGCACTTTGTTTGAAATGGTAGAGGCCAGGCTTGCCAGGAAAACATGCTGGCTGCTCCCTTTCAAGAGAAAAGGTTATGCTTGCTGCCTAAAGAACCGGAAGCATTGGCTCCTTCTCTTTCTTCTTCCCTCCCCTCAACCCCAGCAGGGGGCAAGGAAGAAAATGGCACTCTTCACACCTGTAGTCTACTTGACAATTTGCCAGGCACCACTCCCAGGAGACTGGCTGAATTCTTATAAAGCAGGGCTGGTGGGTCTGGTCATCCAGCTCCACGTGACTTGCCCAGGTATACCAAGCTAAGGCAAGGTTTGTGACCCCTGGTCCTCAGCCTCCTCCTTATTCACTCCACATAGCAACTCTGCCAAACTCATCCTCGCATCCTCCTTACCAGTCCCCAGAAGCAACTTGTTACTCCCCTGAGAAAGTCCTTGGTGGCCGGTGCTGTCTCCTTCATTGAAGCATGAGGCAACCAGGTACCCAGGCCTCCACTCTCTATGGAATAAGGGCCTGCCAGGGAGCAGACAGGGAGGACTGCAGCACCCCCACACTGAACACAATAAACCATGGGCTTTCTCTTTCCCACAGTCCAACACTCCCTGAAAAAAAATACGATATCAAGTGCATGCCAGGCAGTTCCCTAATTATTAATATTACAAGGTGGTGTTTCTTACGGGTGCTTAGGTGTGCTGGGAGCTATGCTGAGTGCTTTCCCAACAGTCAACTGCAATAGGCAGGATCTGTTCTTTTACACATGGCACAGGGCAGGGAGCAGGGACTGGAAAGCACCTTGTCTGAAGGCTGCACCGGGAAGCAGCTGAGTCAGAGGCAGAACACCCCCTCCTCCAGGGTCTGGCTCTGGAGTCCAGGCTCTTCTGGCTTCATTGCCTTACTCCACCCAGATCCCCAATTTAGAGACCCACAACCAGGCAGGGAGACCTTCCCCACCCAACTTGGCTCCAGAGACCTGCGCACCCGCAGAAACACTGAATATGGGGAGGAGGCTCATGAACCTGAACTTGCACCGACAGCAACTCTCCTTTCTTCTGAAGCCCCCCACTCCTAGGCCATTCCTGCCCCACCCCATCAGATCTCTGTCATCCCTGTCTGCATCCTCCTCCTCTCACCCTGTCCTCCCTGCTTCTCTCCCACAGACACCAGTGCATTTTAAAGATGTTTCCACTTTATAAATCATCGCTCTCTGGCAGCCACCCCAGTTCTGCTCCCCAAACAACACACACACACACACACACACACACACACACACACACAGCCCAACAAGCGCCTTGTCCTTGTTGTAAGACTGGAGAGAGGAATAGCAACTGGGATGAGAGAATTGGGGATAACCAGGCTCCTAGAAAATTTCAGAAACCAAAAAGTAATGTTCCATCTCCATCCACCATCTGGGAGTGGAGATTTCTGAAAGCAATCCTGCAGGAACCCGTTGCTTCAAACTGCAAGCTCGAGTTGTTAGTTCGTATTTCTTTTGTCCAACACTACCTCTCCTCTCCTTCCCTTCTGTACCTTCCTTATCTTCCTCCTCCATGGGCTTTCCCCAAACCCAGGATCCCAAGTCAGGGTTGGATGTGGCCCTGAGTCCAGAGTGGCCGGCTGAGGGGCCTCCATAGAGGCTCCCGGACACCATCCCCCAAGTTCCTGCGCCAGCGCTGACCTGCCCGCCTTGGTGATGATCATCTCGGTACCCGCCTCGTGGAACTTCTTCCAGAGCTCCTTCTCGTGCAGCCCCACTTTGATGTTCTCGATGGTCTGGGGTGGGAAGGAGAGGGACACGTGTCTGCCGGGCCCCCCGGGAAGGAGAACGCAGACGCAAAGAAGTGCGCGGGGAGATTTTGGTTTTTCGCAAAAATTAATCTAAAACACTGGCATTTTTTTTTTTCTTTAAAATCTGGTCACTAGCGGAGACTCCTTCCTTCGGGGTAAGGAAAGCTCGGTGACCCAGACGACCTGGTCAGAAACACTCTCGCCGGCGCGGGCTGCACCCGCAGGCGACTGGGCAGACGCCGACAGCGAGGGGCGCACACCCGGCGCGCACGCAGATCCAGACAGGCTGTATTCTGCTCACTAAGCTCACCTGGTGACCACCACGCAAGCTTCCCGCGACCTCCGGGGCCGCGGCAGCTCCTGCGCGCTCCCAAGCTCTCTCCCGCCAGAGGTCAACTTCTGCTCCCACCACCCTTTTGCGACCAACGTTGCAGGACACTCCATGGCCAGTGGTCTCTTTCTTCCTCCTGACCCAGAGCAGCCCCAAGGGCTCAAAGTGGAGAAAGACCCTCCAGCCAAAGCAAACCAACAGGCAGCCACTTTCCCCCCTCGCGAGTCCTGCCCGCGGTGAGACAGAGTGACCAGCACTGGCGGCCGTGCTAGGCCGCTGCCCGATTTCGATTCCAACTGCTGGCACGACCCTCCCTACCTGCTCCGAAACACCAGCGGTGGCGACGTCGGTGCCGGGGCCCGGGGGACTGCCGAGCGCGGCTCCGCCGAGGCCCGGTGTGGCCAGCACAGGCTCCGGGGCGTTAGTGGCGTTGGTGACGCTGGCCTCGCCCAGCGCTGGGGCCGGGGGCCGGAAGGCCTCCTCACTTTCCGACAGACCCTTATCCTGCAGCATCTCCTGCGGGTACAGGACACAGGGAATCACCCGCCCAGACCCACACTGTCGGGAGGAGACTCCGAGGGGCCCTGAGCAGCCTAGCCAGAGTTGGAATGCTGTGGGGGCTTCGCGCAGGGCTGCCCCGGCGCACGTGGACCCCGCCCCTTCCTGAGTCCAATCGGGGAGGGCAGGATCCTCACCTCCTCTCGCCAGGTTCTGGACCTGGGAGGGTCTGCTTGCAGTGTTTGCCCGCCCTGGATGTGGGGTTATGCCATGCGTAAGTCTGGAGGAAGGACCGCCCCCTGGGCACGACCCCAGGTGCACCCCCAGTCCCTCCTTCCTGCTGGGTACCGTGCAGCTCAGGCCTGGGTCTGTTTGGGTGTTCCTCACAACTGGCTTCCACTGGTGGTGAGGTGGGAGGCAGGCCGGCCAGGGCACTTCCTGGGCTCCTATAGCTCCACACCTGCATCGAGGGCGGGCCTCCGGCTGGGCGTTGACCCTTCTGCCTCTACACACTCATTTGCCCCTCACACAGTCCTTCAGAAGGGGCCCAGGTAGAGCCTCCCCATCCAAATACTTGGACTTTCACGCATCCACACGCGGAGAGCAGGCGTCTGCACATCCACACACAGCCTTAACGGCAGCCTCACTTCTAGCTGATTCCTGAACTCAGCGGGGAGGGGGGAGCGGGGGAACCTTCCAGCCTTGTCTTCACGTTCACACTCAGCTCACCCACTCTTTCCTTGGCTTTAAGTAGCTCTGCTCTGAGCCCAAGGACAGGGACCCTTCCATGCAAGGGCCAGGTAGGTAGGTAGGGTCCAGTTCATTGGCACAAACTCAGAGCTCAGCCCCTGCGCTCCCAATTCACTAAGTGGGGCCTGGCCACTCACCTATCCCTGGATCTGCCCCCCGCCGCAGCCTCCAAGGCCCAACCAACCTGTCCTTCACCGCTGGCTGTCTGCTTCCCCTCTGGGTCTCCTGCTCTTGCCCCTTCTTGACCCTGCTTCTGATGGGACTGTCAGTGTGTCTTTCTAAAGGGTGGGGAGTGTGGGGTGGCTCAGAAAGCTCTCCCTTTAGTCTCTCCTGATTGTCCATAAGCACCCCAAGCTTCAGGACACATCCGTAACCCAGTTCAGTGGCCTTCCACCTGGGACTTACACTTTAGATCCCAGACTCTCCCCTGTCCCCCAAACACTAATGTAAACAAGCCAAGTGCAACTGAAGAGATAAAAAGGGGGCCCGGGCCAGCCCTGGCTGGGAAAAGCCCATAAAGATAAGGCTGACGACCCGGCTGGTCTTTGGCCATAGCCGGCGGGGAGTGAGGCTCACTGGACTTGGTCCGCCTGGCACCGTCTTGGAGCATATGCGAGTTGCCGGCCCTAGACACCAAAAGACCCCAAACAGAGGCTGCCCCACGACACCAAAGCTGTGGTTCCAAACATGTCTGGGGGCCCAACCAGGATGGGTGCCTTTAGGTGGCTGTCCCAGGGGCCACAGCCGGCGGGACCAGTGTAGAAGGAATATATTTGGGGGCGCTTTCATTGAGTCTTCTGCCCGGCACTTGTCAAGCCCGGAGACAAGTCCGGTTCGCGCTGGCGCCCCAAATGCAGCACAGCTTCGACTGCGGGCAGGGGCTTGCCGAACTCCCCGGATTCCTCTTTCTGCTGGTTTCACTTCTTCCGAGGCAACATTCTTAAAACAATTGCCCTATTCCAAGGTCTTCTTTCCCCCAGCAGCAGTCCCCTGCGGTGCCCTCAGACCAGCACCGACGGTGCCATCAAGCCCTGCGCAAACGGACACCAGACGCCAGCACCACGGCTCTCGCCCGGTTCGCTGCGTGTCGCCCCGGTTCGCCGGTTCCCGGGCGCTGCCAGCCGGCTCCACTGCCCTTGCGCCCGGGGGGATGGCTCTGAGCTGCTTCATTTTCCGAGGAGGGTCGTGTTCTTCTTTTCGCTTCAGGGTTACTGGTGATATTGTTCTTGAGCTGAAAGCGTTGTTAACACTTTGTGCTACTTTTAATATTTTTTAAAAATTGTCCCCATTTTCAGAGTAGTGTTCGCTTTGTTCAGAAACATGGAGAATGCTAGCACTTTTATTTTTACTATCGCACGGTCGAAGCACTGATCTGGTTCCATGGTTTATTAAATGCGGTGTTGCTTTCGGCCGGCCGTGGGTCCCTTCCCTCTGGCACGCTGGTGATGCTGTTAACAGATTCTGAGTAATTAAGTATAGTGTTTCCATAGATCAATCAATCTACTGCTATTTTTTATATTTACCCTGTATTTCTGGTGCTGTTCCGTTGTTAGCTTTTTAACATCTCCTTAGAATTTACCATACTGTTAGGATAGCTTGTTAGTTACTACCTCTCCTACATTAAGGGTGTTAGAGTCACGTTAATTTTCAAATATTATCGCACTATAATTTGATTTGTTGGGATGGTTCAAATACTACAGATATTATTCTCCATCTCACCATTACAATATCTTGTTACTTCGTCATTATTTGTAACATTTACAGACATTAATTCACCAGTTATTTTTCATCACATCATTACATCTTGCTACTCTGTCGTAATTTGTAATATTGCTATAGCTCTGTCCTCCAATTATTTTTCATCATACTGGTGCAATACTTATTATTATCCAGCCGTTATTTATAATGTTGTGACTGTTACTACCTTGGTCATAAATTGTCATATTAACAGCAATTCTCATCGTATTTGTCCTGTAGTTGTTCTTCAGATTTTGGTTGATATTTGCTGTATTCGTTGTTTTTACCATCCACAACACATTTTGTGATCATATTCCACCAGTTTTTCTAAGAGTACTCCCCTTAGTACTTTTCATGATTCATTTCTTTTACTACAGCTTGCTTCTTACAATTTAACAATTCCTTACACCACTATTTGTTATACTGTTGTTGGCTGGCAAACAGTAGTCCTTACGCGAGGGCTACTTTGTCTTCAGTTTTGAAGATTTGATTCATATTTTCATTTCATTTTGAAAGTGACTTGTTTTAAAGTCCGAGTGTTCTATCAATTTGTGGGGCAGCTCTCTGTGTTGCTTTGGTAGCCACTCACTCACATTCTGATCATTTTTCGGTCATCGGTTATTATTGAGATATCACGGTCTTGATCTTCATTTCAACACATCGACGTGTCGCCTCAAAGGCTTTGAAAGCAGTCCCAATCGCACTTCTGCACAGCGTCTCTCTGCTGATACGCAGGCCCCTCTCCCTCTGCAAACACCAGCTTCAAGGCCAGGGCTCTGTCAGAGCGCCTGCAGGTTCCCCTGCCTTTCTGCTCCTGGGTGCCTGAGACCCCATCCGCCCTGGCCAACTTGGCAAGGAGGGGACCTTGCGCCGCAACCCCTGGGTGGCCGACCCTTGCTGCGGCCCGACCCTAGGCGCCTTCTGCAGCCCTCCAGCAGCTCTGTCCGTCCCTGAGTTTTCTTCGCTTGGTCGGCTCCCTCGCCCTTTTCCAGTTCATCCTTCTGCACCCTGCAGCCTAACCCTAGGCCCTTGCACACAGCACGCCCGCATCGCGCACCCGCATCCGCTCCGCGCCGCATTGAACACTCACCCTAACTGCGCTGTGGCATGCAGAGTCCACTGCAGGATCGGGTCCGAGGAGTGCAGGACAGCCGGGACTCCGTCAAGGGCCGCTGGGTCAGGGTCCCGTGGCCGGCCGCGCCCTCGGAGCCGGACACATCTCGATTCTGGAGTGGGCCCTTGATCTCCAACGCTGCACTTTGGGGCCTCAGCTCCCTCCCTCCCCCTCCTCTTCCTCCTCTTCCCTCCCTTCATCCCTCCCTCCAGGGCCGCCTCCCCACCCCCAACTGCGCTGACGTCGCTACTGTCAATCAGCTCGTGCCCGCCGCCCCCCACCAGAGAGGGGTGCTAGGGTCCCTGGGCTCTTCGGGACCCCCCAAGACCCAAAGCTCGGGGCAGGCCGCCGGCTTCTCCACCGCACGCTCCAGTTCTCTTCTCAGGGCCTTTGCACCCCGCTAGCCGGGTAGTGGCTCAGAGTCCCGCATGGTTTAGATTAGGGAGGCGGGAAGAGAGGACGGGAGGCCTCGACAACTAGGACTGCTTGCCCAGCGCTGCGGACCCGCAGACGTGCGTTCCAAGGCCGGGCCTGGCTCCTCTGTGCCCGGCCGCCGGCAGCCTTCTTCACCGACCCCCGGGGCCGCAGGCTCCCTTCGCGCACCCGCCCTCCTCCGACCTTCTCCCAGCCGCGAGCGCACTCGCGCAATTCACCAGTCCACTTACCAGGTGCAGCAGATACCTGGCGCTTCGGGGCCCTACAATGGTTTATCCGCCATGTCCACTACGTCCTCACACCTGCCAGCTCCGGACACCCTTCCTCGTCGTCCTGGGCCCGGGAGCCGCGGGCGTCAGATTCACGTTCGGCCACGGAGGTCGTGGGTGAGGCCCGACGCTCCGGCCGACTGGAGACCCAGTTGCAGAGCCCGGAGCGCTGGCGGCGCCGAGACGGTGCTGGGTTGGCCTCTGAGTCGTAGCCTGGGCCTCGGCCCAGTCCTTGACAGAGCCCAGGAGGGCTCCACCGTGCCAGGCTTGGCAGGGCCTCTCCCGGAAAGCCGCAGTCAAGAACCGGACAGCCACAGCAGTCCAACTCCCAACCCCTCCCCAGGTCCTGAAGGGCGCAGGAGTAGCCCCGGGGCTGCCTCGGCCGGCAGAGACGGCTCAACCTCCAAGCGCTTCTTTACCTCCTCGCGGGCGGGTGCAGCTGCCCCAGGCACACAGACCAGCGAGCTCCTCACAGGGTGTTCAGCCTCACAACCAGTCACACACCTGCGACAAAGAGGCAAGGATAAAATGGGCCTGGCCCCCATCCCCTGACAGTCAAGATCCCCAAAGAGCCCCTCACTTGGCAGCGGGGGGAGCACAGCCCACCCCCAATCTCTCCAAGCAGCCTCCAGTTGCTTCACAGGCTATAACTTGTAGTAAGACGGAAGGTTCCAGCCTGGAGATAACAGGGAAGGGCCTTTTCAGGCTGTGTTTGACCACCCTTT